AAAGCTGTGTGGAGATTCCTCAATCTACTAAAGATAGAGCTTCCACATGATCCAGCAATTCCACTCCTAGGTATTTACCCAAAGGACACAAAAACATTAATTCAGAAGGGCACCTGCACCCCTTTGTTCATAGCAGCACTATTTACAATAGTTAAGCTATGGAAACAACCCAAATGCCCCAAAATAGATGACTGAATCAAGAAGGTGTGGTACATACACAATGGAATATTACTCAGTAATCAAAAAAGATAAAGTCATGCAATTTGCAGCAACATGGATGGAGCTGGACGGGATCATGCTCAGCAAAATAAGCCAGAAAGAAGAAGAAAAATATCAGATGATCTCATCATAGCAGGAATTTAGAAAACCTAAATAAGAGACCAGGAAAAAGACTAATTATATAAAGAAAAATCAAAATCAACAAGCAACTATAAACCAGAGATACACTAACAGGGCGGGGGAGAAGAGGAGGAATCAGGGCCAAAATAAGGGGGGTGGGAATTGTATGGGGAATATAACCAAAATGAAAATGCATAATCTGTGCAAAAATGAAAAATTATGTAAGAATTATATAAAATAAAATATTAAAAATAAAGATACATTTTCTACTTATATGAATTCCATAAAAACTATGATCATCAAGTGCATAATCCCACCCCATCTTCTGCACCATTACCAAATTTTTTTCCTCCAAGTCTTTGCTGTACATTTTTCAATAACTTACAGTGATAACACTAGTATTACTAGTAATGTCAGCAACAATGGCTGTTTTTTGAATTCCAATCAAGTCTTAAGCTTGTTGTGAGTTCTCACAACAACCCTCTAACATGGGTGCTATTAAGCTCTCCACCCACCCAGTTGGTGGGAACATTCATCTAAGGCTGAGAGAGATTCATAAAACTGGCCCAAGGATATACAGCTGAAAAATGAAAAGGCTAAAATTTGAACTCATTTCAAATTACATCACCAGGACCTCCCAGTGACCAGGGGTTTAGTTTCAGCGCTATCACCGCTATGGCCTGAGTTTGATCCCAGGCCAAGGAACTAACCCACATAGGGCACAGCAGACCTCTTCTGAGTTACCTGTTGCTCCCTTTATCAGTGCAATGCAGCAAATCTGCCTGTTCTGTGCCCCACTCTGCCTCTGGTGAATAGTCTCACCCTCCACACCTCTGGTGGACACCCCAGTTCTTCTATACAAAAACAAAAACAAAGTATATCACCACTTGGCCAGAGAGCCTCCCCTGATATTTCCTTTGTTGAGCATGACTTATATGCTACTACTGTGCGAGGAACTTTGCTTATATGACCTCATTAGATTTTCATACAACCTATAAGATAGACTTGATTATTGCCCGTTTTATAAAATAAGACTCTTAGGCAAATGAACTGATCACCAGGTATTGTCCATTGACCCTCAAGCTAAAATCAACCCCTATTTAAGCCACTAACTTGTGCAAAGTACTTAATAAGAACAAGTTTTGTGGACAATATTTTTTATGATGATGATAATTGGAGAACAAGGTACAAATACTATATACATGATAAAACAAAATAGCTTCATAGAATATAGCACACATGGTAATCTATTTCTCCTTTTCCATTTTAGAGGTCAAAGAGTGCCCCTTCCACTGTGTACCCACACACATAGCCCCTCTACAGAAGTCAGTGGATGATTCAGGCATAAGCAAGACAGATGTGGTCACTGGGGTGGGTGGAGAATGATAACCAGCATACTGACTGTTGTGCTTATGTTGTTCTGTGTTGACATCTGACATGACTGTTCTTGTCTGTGTTTACATGTCCCATTCATCTGGTTCAACCAGACAGGGTTTTATTAATATTATTGATGGTTGCCATAACAACAAGCACGTGAATATACTTTAGCTATGAAATTGTGACAAGTATTTGGTTGATCACAGTCCGTAAATTGCAGCAGATGGATGATCTCCAGGGGTGAAGGGAGATGAAACAGGACATCACCGGATGGATACGTGCTTTGATCTCATTGGGGAAATTTACATAGTGATTTCTCCTGAAAATGTTCCTTTCCAGGGACTTCCTCTGGGACTTTGGAGCTGTTTGACCCTTGGAGAAAAGCCAGGAATTCAAATGAAGACTCTTCCTATACCATAAATAGCACTCTGAGTTTGCATCCTCCATTTCCATTACACTTTCTTCCCTGACCTTCTCAGTCCATTCAGTATTCAGGATATTAATGGAACAAACTGAAATCAGAAATTGAGTGACATTCCTTTGCTGCTTTTAACTCTAACTTCTCAGTTGGCGTTCCCTGGAACAGCAGATACTTGCTAAAATTCATACTAGATATTATAACGGGGAAGCAGAGGAGACAAGATAGTGGATATGGAAGACATGCAAAATAATGAGGAATTACTGTCATGAGGAATTGTCTTGTTCAAGGGATGGAGTTACTGAGAGAGTTCTCAAAGTGTGAGACTTTTAGTTTTATAACCAAGAAAGTCCAAAGAAAAATAGGACAAGTTAGTTCCAGACTCTATAAAGGGAGTCTGAGAAATTCACTTCACCTACACGGACCCCGCAGCTCCCAACTCTAAAACCAAATAAAAAATTTTAATTTTTTTGCCTTAATTCATAGCAATCCATATTCAATAAAGGGTCAAATGCATTAAAACTTTAAAAGTAAATACAGAGATGCCATTCATATCATATGCTACAACACTGGTCCAGAAAGACAGGGAATTAATCCCTGTAGTTGAAACACCTCAACCTCCATGATCTTAAAAGCTGAGCTTCTCCTGTGATACACCTGGTCTATCTGAGGCAGTGGTGCACCATTTAACAAATTGATTCCCTAAAAGTGTCTAAGTGAATACCAGGATGCTGGAAGAATCTGGCTCAACTATTATTAAACTATTATTAAACTATTATTATTATTAAACTATTATTAAACAACGGATCTTAAAACTCCTAACACACAGCTGCACATTTAGGATAAATGAGACACGATCAGTAAAATATTTTGATTATAATGGGTTACAACTTGAACACAGCAAAGAAGATCCCAGACTGATATGCTACATTTAATGCATTGGTTAAGAGGGGGATGAGAGAGGATAAGGGGAACAGTGAAGTCATCTTATGGTGATTTCACACCATCATCCCTCTTCTCATAAGAGCAGTTATTGGAATTAAGATCATCCCTTGTTCATTCTCTGTAGAGAAATAGGAGGGCTATGAAAATTAAATTGGTGCAGGAAAGGGGTACCCGCAAGATCCCCGCCCCACCGCCTCTTCAATTTAGAATAAAGTTGGGAGAGAAAGGGGCAGAGGTTTCTCCACCAGGATAATAGCAAGGGCAGTACTATCTACCTACTGTGGCTCAATTCAGTCTATAAAGAAAAGGATACTCCACCCCAACTGCTGTCAGAGTTTTCAGGCTCCCTGTGAGTGGTGCTGAGGAGTCAGCTGTGGTACTATGAGGCTCACAGATGATCCATCACTTTCCTTTCTGTGCCCAGGAGGACTCAAGGAATGTTTTGGGTTGAACTGTGTGCTCCCGAAAGATATGTTGACGTCTAAACCCCTGGTACCTATGAATGTGACCTTATTAGGAAATAAGGCATTTTCAGATGTAATCAAGTTAAGATGAAGTCACAATGAATTAGGGGATGTCCTCGTCTAATGACTGGTGTCCTTATAAGAAGAGGAAATTTGAACACAAAGACACACAAGAACAACATGAGATGACAAACACAGAGATTAGAATGATACATCTGCAAGCCAAGGAATGCCAGGAATTACTGGCAACCACCAGAAGCTAAGAGAAAGGCACAAAACACACTCTCCCTCGGAAGAACCTCTCAGACATCTTGATTTTGGAAATTTGGCCTTAAAAACGGTAAGAATAAACTTCTGTTGTAGTAAACCACCCAGTTTGTTAGGCAACCCTGGGATACTAATACAGAAGTCAAGAGTCTGACCTTGGCAAAATAGTGAAGTAGGTACCACCAGAAACTGAAATTTTTGCCAGATTTACTATACTCAGATCATTCTATTTTTCTCACCTCCCATATCCCCTCCATAACTATGCTAGACATAATATTAAAATTCAGACCCTTCAGTGGCTCCCCACGTTATATACAAGATAAAAGCATATTTACAAAGTATATTGTCACATGTAGACACCGTCCATCTTTCTAGCCTCACTTGCCTCACTCATTTATACTTAGGATCCCTTAAATATACCCTTTTTTTCATGCCTCAGTGATTTCAAACAGATGTAGTCTTTGCAAGTGTGAAGACTCATGTCACCACCCTTGGAAGTCTTCACCTCTAGGTAAAGAATTTGTCTGATCTATGTTCTCTGGCATAGTTTTTAATAAAACCTTGTAATTTCCTGAGTGATAGAAATGTCTTTGTTATGCTAGTGATGTGATTCACAGTGTGTTCCTGGAGAGCTTCAGGATGGGAGCTGGTCATCAGAAGGGGGTTGGCACTTTTAGCCACCAGACCACCAAGAAGGGGGAAAAGACTAGAGACCAAGTTCCATCACGCGGTTAATGATTCCATCAACTGCACCCAGACACCCAGGGTTTCATAGAGGTTGCTGGTTAGTGAGCATACTGGTGTTCTGGAAGAGTGATATATTTTGACCTTACCAGGACAAACGGAAGCTCTACATTCCTTCCCAGACTCTACCTGATGTGTATCCTTTATAATAAAACTGTAATTATAAGTATAGCACTTTTGTGTGCTCTATGAATTCTTCTAGCAACTCATCAAACCTGAAGGGGGGGGGGTGGAAAATCCCAAATTTATAGCCAGTTAGTCAGAAGTGCTAATGACCTGGAGACCCCCCTCCAAAGTGCACTAGATCAGAAGTAAGGGCTATCTTGTGGCATACGACCCTTTCCTTAAGGAATCTGACGCTAACTCCAGCTGATTGGTGTCAGAATTATACTGTAGTATATTTAGCTGGGTTTTGAAACAGAACACCCCCCTATTCCTCCTCTTACCTCTTCTCCAGGTAAGATCCATGGCATTAGATCCATGTTGTCTTTGTCTGTTCACAAAAGATCCTCCTCCGCAATCCATGCAAGTCTTTTGAGTGAGGCTAACCCTTTTTCTTCAGCTCCAGAGTAAGCAATGGACAGAGACCTGCACAATAAAAATATTCCATTGCTGTGGTTTGCTGGAGGATGCGCACGTGATTCAACTGAGCATAATGTGATGAGCTTGACAGAAAAGCACTCTCTTTCTGTTAGGATTGCTGAGTGGATGGTACACAAGACCACAACTGCCTAACCCTTGGAACCACTTGGGGAGAATTTGTTTGAGGATGGTGTCAACACAAAAGAAAGAAGAATGGAGAGACAATGTCCTGGTAAAGTTTTTGAAAGCCTGAAGATAGCTGTGCCTGAAACCAGAAATACATGCTGGACCTTCTGCTTATGCAAATCATGAATTCTCTCTTTCACTCAAGGCAGTTTGACCTAAGTTTTCTGTCACTTGCAACCAAAAGAATCCTGACAATAGCCCATTCTTCCAAAGACCACCAGGGGTTCTCATTGCTATCATCACATTCATAATTATTGACTTGTTTGCCTACCCCAGCTTCCAGGCTGGGCACTCAGGAAATGAGTCTTATATGTCTTTAATGTCTGCAATATGGTGTCCAATATGTATTTTTAAATGAATATTGGGTAACTAAACCACCTCTTTTTCAAGTGCTTCTTTTCTCTTTTCTATTATCCCTTTCTCCCTCTCACTTTTATTCAAGCATAGTCTCACTTTCAGACTAACAGACGTAGGGAAAGGCACCAGCCTAGAAACTGAAAGAATTGAAATGTGGCCCTGGTTCTGCTTATTTCCATAAGTATGACCTTACATAATTCTCTTATCTCTCTTGAGCCTCAGTTTCCTCACTTGTAAAGTGAGCCATATCTGAAAATCCTAAAAGAAAAATCCTTGCATGACTCCAATAGCTGCTAAATTGTTCATTAAAATGGCAGTGCTGTTAAGGGCTAAATTCTCAGTTTTCCCCGGAATAACTGCATTTTAGTGGATGATTACTAGAGATGGAAAAACTTAAAGGGTTAAAGAGGTGAAACTACAAAGATGCACTGATAAGTTATAGAAAGAAATCTGCTATGTGTGCCCAGCTCACATCACCCTTGGAATTTGGTATTGAAACCACTTTGGGGAACATATAGGACAGGACTAAGTGCAGAAGATGGAGTCTGATCAAGGCTATTCAATATGTGTACTAACTCTACTCCCGACTCAATCGTCAGAACCATACCATCAACCAGAACTTGCCCCAAACTCACTGGTTGGATAAATGACAGATTCCATGGCATTGACAATTATGGCCCCAAGCCAGAAAGGAAAGCATCTGTTACAATGAAAAGATGGGGGGACCCAATGAAGAAAACAAGCTAAATTCTGTCTCTCAACTCTCACCAAACAGGAATAAGACCCAGACCTACTGTCCATTTGGAAGACAGCCATAGGCCACTAGCTTCTTATGGACAACAATGTCTGTTTTTCCCCAGGGGTATGAGTTGAAATGCCTTTATTCTAGTCAAATTCCCCATAAAGGCAGAGCTATAGAAAAAAATTCAAGAGACCATTGAAACATTGAAAAGGACATATGCAATCAATCTGGTATCCTCCACCCCCACCTGCCCACCCAGACCGAGTCCTAACAGGGCATAAAGAAAGTGAGCTATGACTGGATGGAGTCCACTTTTGTTCTAACCAGAGCCAGAAGCAATGTCTAGCAGAGCAGAAGCAAGTAGAGGCAGAGTATCATCTCAATTATTCAGACCCTGATTATCCTGCCACCCCCTTAGGGGTTGAGAGAGGGTAAGTATCTTCAAAGAGGAGAGAAGGAAATTAAGAGAGCAAGGGAGATGTTTCTCAAAACATTCAGATCAGATCCTTACATAATTTTCACACTTTCCTACTGAATAGACAACAAATGATGGGACTAGGAGGTGCCCAGGGATAACTACCTCATGCAGTGCAGGTCAACTATAGGCCTACTCTTGAGAAAATGGCAATTCAAAACTTCAGAGAGAAATTACTACCCTCCCCCTTAAAAAATACCTCTCCTACCTAGGCCCTGTAAATGCTGCCCCCTGCATCTTTAAATTGCCAATTCCAGGCCTCCCTGGTGGTGCAGGCAGTTGAGTGCAGCACGGTGGACCTGTCCACAGCCTCTACAGTGCAGGTTCGATCCCGGCCAGCCACGGAGATACCCACATGGCGCAGCAGACCTCTCCTGTCTCACCCGCTGCTCCCCTCATCAGTGTATTTCAGTCAGTCTGCCTGTTCCGTTCCCCGCTCTGTCTCTGGTGAATCATCTCACCCTCCTGTACATCTGGCCTGTACCCAGGTTCTTGTATGCATGAATAAATAAATCTTTAAAAAAAAAATTACCAGTTCCTTGGTTTAAGACCTCATCTTCTGTTATAACACATATACTCTTAGGAATGTTTTATGTAAGTATCAGCTATCTTAAGCTTAAGGTCAATGAGCTTTCATTCTGTTACTGGATAACAGAACTCTAGTCTGTTACTAAAGTAATCTTTGATGAGTGAAGGAAGCCAGGAAGAAAAGAAAGGAAGAAGAGAGAGCAAAAAAGGATGATAATGACATTCAGGAAAAGCCCGCGTGACTGTCTTCAGAACCTGGCAAAACCACTGTCCAAGCAAGGCAAAATCAGAAATGTGACCCTTTTGAGGGTATCAGCAAAAGCACCAAAAAATCAACTAAGAATCATCCCTGAGAGAGCCCTATGGCTCATGGAAATAAATCCTGGAAGTGCACCTTCCATTGTTAAACAGCATCAGAACAACTTCATTGGCACTGTCTGCTCCTTCTTCCACACTGGCATAAGCTGGGGTTATTTCAGAGAGAATTTAGCATCTCCCTTCAAATCTCATCTCCCTGAAACAAGCTGTGAAGACTACAGGTCATTGCTCCACCTTTGTAGCTCTGGGGTACTATCACCAGATTCTTCTTACAGCAATTTCTAAAGAATCTCACCGGAAACAGCATCAGAATACTGGCACTGTGGGAAGAACTGCCAGTTTTCTCTTGGGTATGAGCACCCTCTGGTGGTGAACATCTGAACTGTAGTCTAACAGCTCCATCACTGACTCCTAAATGGTCTCAAGTGTAAAATCTTCCAGAAGGAAATGTATTCCAGGATCTCTCTTGGGCGCATAACCATCCACCAAAATCTAAGTGGCATGGCTTATGACTATGCCCTAGTCACCGCTCCTGCCCATACTTCCTCTGTAAGAATATGGAGACAACGCCAGCATTAAGAGCAAATGAGAGGGCCTCCCCGTTGGCGCAGCGGTTGAGCGCTGGGTTGCGAAGCTGCCTGCAGCCTCTGCAGCACCGGTTCGATCCCTGGCTGCTCCCCGGCCACCGGAGGAGGGTCCCACATGGCGCGCAGACCTCTCCTGCCACCCGCTGCTCCCCTCAGCAGTGTACCTGGGTCCTTCTGCCTGCTCTGCTCCCCGCTCTGGCTCTGGTGAATTCTCTCACCCTCCCGCGCTTCTGACTATACCCAGTGCTTGTATAAATAAATAAATCTTTTAAAAATAAATATATATTTTAAAAAAAAGAGCAAATGAGAACACCTGTTACTCAGTGAAGTACCAGATACATTAAAATAAGAAATACCATTATGGCTTACTAGACAAAGATTTAAGATCCAAATTTAAAGTTCTTAATATACTATTATTATATTGCTTTCCCCTTCATGCTTTGTGTATGTTACTTTTACAAGTCTTTTACACCAATATTATGTCTCCTTCAACCATCTAGTCCCTTATTACTTCATGCCTGTGTTGCTACTGCAGACTGGTGGCCCTGCCTCCAGTTTCTCCTCCACACCACCTTGCCAACTGATGCTTTATTTACCTTAACAGCTATGTTCTTTCAATCACCTCCCAGCTTTGGTCTCAAGAACAACTTCCTATGGACTTGAGCAAGGATCTGCAAGACTCAAGCTGGCATAAGCAGCAGACCATCCACACCATGACCAGAATCAGCAACAATATTTTCAGTGAAATTATGGCATACACAAATGCATGCTCAATGTAATGTGGGTGCTCAACCCCTTATATTTTTGAGACCCCAGGATTCTGTGCAGATCACTGACACACCATCATTTCAGATTTATGGAACACTGCATCTATGGAGATGCTTTTTATATATCCAAGCAATAATGGGCTTCCACCTCTGGATGTAATCTCAGGATGATAAATCTTTCACTTTCATATTAAGCTATTTATACAATTTCCAAAATGCAGAGATTTCTGCAACTATGTATAGTGCCAGTAATTATGAAGAACCATCAGAGGGGCCTCCTTGGTGGCCCAAGGGGTTAAGCATCAGCACTATGACACAGCACAATCCACAGCCACTGCAGCACAGCCAGGGAGGTGACCCACATGGCACAGACCTCTTCTGACTTACCCACTGTATTTCAGTAGATCTGCCTGTTCTGCTCCCTACTCTGTCCCTGGTGAATCCTCTCACCGCCCACCTCGCACTTCTGGCCTGTACCCCAGTTCTTGTATGCATAAATAAATCTTTAAAAAAAAAAATCTGAAAGTTGTGATCTGTGGATACTCACCTATGCTTGGACCTCAGTGGTGTGCTGAGAAATTCTTAGTAACTAGCTCATTGGGGCAGCAGTGGGGTGGTAAGTGGGGAACACTGATTTGTAACATTTGCCAATTTCTAAGATATAAATATTCCTACTATGATCAATTTCAAGATATAATCTCATCTGGATGAAGAGTTGGGAAGAGAGTATGATAGACTTTCATAAGCTGGTGCACCTCCACTCCTCCATTGTCTGTAAGTGTATTTTTGTTCTTGGTCCTTCTGTTGTACAAATAGTGTGCTTCAAGTTGTTAGTGTATGATAGAAGTGATGTTTAAGCTTGTTTTTGATTAGTTTAAAACAGAAAATCATTTCATAATTGCTACCTATGAAATGATAGACAAAGAAGACTCATTATCTAGCTGATGCATTATTATGCTACATGACAAAATATTCTGCTAGTCAGTTTTGATTCAATGTATACAACTGAAATTACATCTATCTTTTGCTCATTTTTTAAAGTTCAT